GGCGACACCGAGGCCCGGAGAAAAGTAATTTCCCCCCAAACAAATACTTTCATTGATGAACTTTTCATTCCTCTCACTCTACAACCGTGCCTAGTTATTTGTCTTCATGCTTAATCTCTCTCTAGTTAGATGATCAACTCCTGGAGGCCAAGGGCCGTATTTCCGCAGTGCCCGCCAAAACCGCAAACGCTTGCGGGACGAGTCAGCTGTTTCGGGCACCAAAGCTTGAAGGGGCCTAAGGACTGCGCCGGCAGACGGCACACGTGGGACAGCGCCCTCCAGCGTCTCCTTCCGAAGCCACCCCTAACGGCCGCTGTGACTGAAAGGGAACCGTTGGTCCCTTTCGGACAGACCAACTGCCGAAGGAAGGTGGGTCACCCAAGTGGACGCCCAAGTCCGAGCACTTCGCTTGTAGGTCGTCTGCAAGTGGCTTCGTCTTATCTGCCCAATAAGCTCCGGGGAGGGCCCGGCCCGCTGGGTTCTCGAGAAATGCCCGTTCCGGCGGCCACCCGGGTCTGGAGGGCCCCTCCGCGCCTCTCCTAGGGCGGCGCCTGCGTCCTCCCGACGCGGCCGCCGGCGGCGGAGCGGAGCGGTTGGCCCCGAGGCTCTTCCGGGGCCCGGGGGGCGGGGCGGAGCCAAGGCCCGGGACTGAGTTAAGCCGCTGCAGGTAACGCGTCGGGCTGGGGGTCTCCAGGCCGGGGGTGTCTAGCGCGGTCCCGGGCAGGGGCGGCCGCATCATTTAGGGGAGTGGGTCCGAGGTGGTAAGGGCCGGGGAGAGCTCCCTGGGACTCCGACCTGGCCACGTTGACCGAAAGGAACCAGTCTGTTCTCTGCCCTCCAGAGCTGCCACGCGTGGAGGACCCTGGGATGAGGGGTCCCCGCCCCCGCAAAGCCCACCCCACTGAGCTCTAGACTTCGGGGATGGCGGTCAGTGGCTAGGCCGCAGGTGGGATTTATCCATTCATCTGTCTGTTAATCCGTTTTCTTTCTTCATTCACAAATCTCTCACTCGCTTCTACTCTATGCCTGGCCCATCGGTAGGTTCTCTGGGTGAATCTGATAGACCCAGCACTCCAGGAGTTTAGTCTAGTGGAATCTAGAATCTAGTCTAGAGACTATTAAATAGATAATAACGCTCAAAGTGTTTCCTGCAATGATGGTGGCTTAGTAGATACCTTCAGAGCCCAGAGGGAGAAGAAAGTGACAGGTAGGGGGAGCAGCACAGCCTGCAAGTAATGAAAGGCACTGCCGTGTTGGAGGAACAGTAAAAAGCCCAATACTGCAAGACATTGTGGAGGTGAGTTACAGAAAAGTTGACACCAGAAGGCCTTGCCTTCTATGCCATGCTGAGGCCAAGATTTACCTAAGAGTTCAGTATTTCCCAGCCTCTTTAAATGTTTTATCTTTCAATAAACATAAACATCTTATGACCTCTGAAATTTTCATATATACTTCTCCCCCGTGAGAATCACAGAAAACTTTAGCTGAAAAACTTCTATGGCTGTGTTGAGAAAGCTGTTATATTTGCCTCCAAATTTTTTTTTTTTTTTTTTTTGCCTTTTTTCGTGACTGGCAACGGATCGCAACCCTCAGTGTCGCGCCCGTACCGGACCGGGACCAGCAACGGGATCGCAACTCTCGGTGTTGCTCCCGCATCTCGCTCAGCCAGTGAGCGGCCGGTCTGTATGTGGGATCCGAACCCTCGGCGGGAGCGCTGCCGCGCTTCCCAAGCGGCGCACTGTAGCCGTGTGCCACCGGGCCGGCCCTTGCCTCCAAATTTTTAAAGAGGAGAGTGACCTGATTTGTTCTGTGTTCCAGGAAAAAGATGATCAGAAATATCTAAAAAGTGCCTTTTTTTCCTTATGCATAGGATACCATGAAGCAGCTGCCAGTATTGGAGCCTGGAGACAAGCCAAGGAAAGCAACATGGTCTGTAAGAAAGGAATCAAGCACAGAAAAACATGAGTTTTTGTTTCATTTATAAGTAGTTTACTAACACATTTGATCATCAACAAAGAAGGGTAGAGATGAAACTGTCTGCAGTTTCTAGTAATTAGACTCAAACCATCAGAGAAGGTCTTCAGAGGAAAGATAGGGGGCAATAATTATCACAGAACAGATGTTGATTTTATTAAAATCTGTTTACCAGGAAGAGTAAGACACTGACCATCTGGCATTCTCAGCTCCAGTGTTGTGTCTTCCCCTGAGCTGTGACTCATTTTTAAGACTTTTAAGGAATTGAACTTGGATTAAACTGGCTTCACTGCTTCTTGGCAGCTCCTTCAACCAACTCTTCATTCAAGAACTCACACTGGCCTTACAGGGGCAGCTTCTGTGTATATAAGTGCCGTAGGTACAAAGGTAAATAGTCTGTGAGTTGCAGGTGCACCTGCAGACTAAGCAGGTGATGATGATGAAGGCTGATCAGTGCTGAGGTAGGGCTTGCAGAAGGCTACAGAGAGGTGGCAATGTTTCCACAGGACCTTGAAGGAGAGCCTCCAGTCTGGCTTCCCTGCATCCATCTTGCTGTATACCTAACATACATTCATTGTGGTATTTGCCCAGATCATTTGTACTCATACTTCAGATTTGAGTTCAAATAGTGCTTCTTCAGAGTCTCCTCTGACCACTTCATTCCCCACCTCTCCTTACAGAGTAAGGCCCTCCTATGATATGTTCTCATATTATGTATCTATATGCATCCTGTACTCCTTTATACAACAATTGCAATGAAATAGATATTTGTGAAATTGCTTAACATTTCTCTTCCCAATTATTCCGTAAGGGCTATGAAGGCAAGGACTTTTCTGTCTAATTCACCATCTATTTGGATGGCTATGTGCTCTTGGGAAAGTCATTTAACCTTTCTAAGCCTCAGTTTCTCAGTTGTAAAACTCAAATGATGATAATGGCACTAATCCTCAAAGGGGTTTTGTGCAGATTAAGTGAAGCCAGGGTTATAACGTAGTTAGCAGCTTGCCCAGTACATCATTAGTAATAATTCACGTGGCAGTGGAGTATGTGAATCTGAACATCAGAAGAGAGATCTGAATAAGAAATAGAGATTTAAGGGCCGGCCTGTGGTTCACTCGGGAGAGTGCGGTGCTGATAACACCAAGGCCCCGGGTTCGGATCCCGTATAGGGATGGCCGGTTTGCTCACTGGCTGAGCGTGGTGCTGACAACACCAAGCCAAGGGTTAAAATCCCCTTACCAGTCATCTTTAAAAAAAAAAAAAAAAGAGAGAGAGAGAGAGAGATTTAGAAACCCCTGATGAATATATAGATGGGTGATAATTGAAGTGATCAATACAGATAAAATTAATCAGGTAAGCAAACATGGACTGAGAGAAGAGAATCCCAAGGATACTGAGAGTTAGGAGGAGGCTAGCAGGAAAGGAGTTGGAGAAGGAAACAGAGAGAGCAGCCAGAAAGGTGGGTAGAGAACCAAAAGGGAGGGACAGGGAAGCAGATTAGGAGAAAGGTACAAGAAGGAGGGAGGGGTCAGTACCAAATACCAGGGAGGTCAAGAAAGACATGGCCTGAAAAGCAGCTACAGAATTTTCTTTTCCAGCCAGGAAGCCTGAAGTGTTTTTCCAATCAGCATTCAGAATAACTCTGGAGAATAGAATGACTGGATCCTCTATTTCATTTTTCAGAGTGTTAGCTTTGGCTTCCAGGTTGAGCTTTGTGAGTAATCTGGAAAGGCTCCTATGATCAATAAATTCTGTAGAATATTTCCTGATGGGGAGGCTTTGCTGGCTAGTAGGAAGAGCCTTGGACTGTAGGTTCCTATATGATTGCTCATAAAGCTCTAGCCACCATTTACTCAGTCCTTCCCTGCAGTTATGAGGCTTTGTCTTAGTCCTCACAGTTACTTTCAAGGTAAGAACTATTGCTCTTCTCATTTTACAAATGAGGAGACTAAAGTTCAGAAAGGCTAAGTGACTCCCAGATGGTCACACATCTATAAGTATCTGAGCTGGAAATTGAACCAGGCCTGCCTGCATTCACAAAGCATGTTCCTAACCACCATCCTGTAATATACCAGTGAATATTTCTGGATGTCAGTTTCCCTGTCTACCAGGTGGGGACAATTACTAGCTTAGTGCATCCCTATTAGATTACTGTGAGATGAAAGTAGTGACAAAATTGAAAACCCAAAGACTGTGTGCAAAGAGAAGTTACTATTATTAATCAGGGAAGAGCTGCTTTGCTGGATATAATTTAGTCTGTGTATATATAAGACCCTTCATATTGGTGCATATTTCCTGAGGAATGGAAAGGACACACTGCTGCATTTATTCTCTGCTCAGGCCTCCTGAATACATCCTCCCTTTGGCAGGTACACCTTGACTCCCCCTGGAGACAGCCCCTGTGCTCGAGTTGGCCACAGCTGCTCATATCTACCCCCTGTTGGTGACTCCAAGAGAGGGAAGATCTTCATTGTTGGGGGAGCAAACCCAAACAGAAGCTTCTCAGATGTGCACACCATGGATCTGGGTAAGACCAGCAGCTGCAGAGCACATTCCCTGTGGCCAGAGAGCAGGGCTTTGTGCTGCCAGCCATGAGCAGAGCATTCCTAAGAACATCAGTTCAGACCAGACAGCAGGGTTTTCCTCTAAATAAATGAACATCACTGAGAGGTCCATAAGGTCTCAGCAGACCCCTAGCACAAATCTACCTGACCAATACCTCCTTGTTTTGGGGGAAAGAGCCTATATGGAGCCCTGGCCATCCAGCCATTCGTTCATCAAATACTTCTCTAGTAGACATTGTTGACTCCTATCTCTTTGAGATAAGGGCAAGCCCATGGCTCACTGGGGAGAGTGTAGTGCTGATAACACCAAGGCCAAGGGTTTGGATCCCTATATAGGGATGGCCAGTTAGCTCACTCGGGAGAGCGTGGTGCTGACAACATCAAGTCCAGGGTTAAGATCCCCTCACTGGTCATCTTTAAATAAATAAATAAATAAATAAAAGATAATACAAATCTTTCAGTGGACTTTTTGAAGACTGTTCATCTGATGGCAGTCCCATAAGATTATAAAAGAGCTGAAAAATTCCTTTTATATGTTTGATATGTTTAGATACACAAATACCGTTGTGTTACAGTTGCCTACAGTATTCAGTAGAGTAACATATCATACAGGTTTGTAGCCTAGAAGCCATAGGCTATACCACATAGCCTAGGTATGTAGCAGCCCAGACCATCTAGCTTTGTGTAAGTGCACTTTGTGATGTTCACACAATGACGAAATAGCCTAAGAATGCATTTCTCAGAACGTGTCCCCATTGTTAAGTAACACATGACTATATCTCTTATCCTCATCCATGTCTGTCCATTTCCAATACTACTAGTGTAATCCAAGCCACTATTTTTCTCTAGCTAGACTGTCACAATAGCCTCTTCACTTGTCTCTCTACTTCCAAGTTTACCCACTGTACAGTGCATTTTCTATACCTAGACAGAGAACATTGTCTAAAATACAAATTTAACCATGTCACTCCCCCATTTCAAGCCTTTCCCAATCTCATTTCTTGGCTCTCCCCAACCCACGTTTCGTGCATTGAATATCGTTTAGTTCCTTGAACACATCTTAAATTTTCTGGCCTGCAAGCCTTTGCACATACTGTTCCCTCTACTTGAATGGCTTTTTCCTTTCCTTATCATCTGGCTACTCTTCATCTTTCAGATCCCATATTAAATGTCACTTCTGTCACTTTCCGTGATTCCTCTGGACTTTTTTTTGGCCCCCCCCCCCCCCCCACATGTCCATAGTATCATGTACTCTCCCATCCTTATCCCTGTATTCTTATCCCATCCTTTACATCCCTTATCACATGTGATTGCTTTTTGTCTGTCTTCCCCTCATGTCTATCTTCCCCCCAAGAGTATAAGCTCCTTGGAAATGGGAAACGTGGTTATTTTCCTCATCATTGTACCCCACAGTGCCTAACACAGAGTATGTTCTTTATAAGTATTTGAATGAATGAATGAGCAAGTGACCACTATAGACCCTATACAAGGGCAGAAGTTGAAAACTGGCGACCCTCATATGTGTTTTGTTAGGTCCATGTAACATTGCCTTTATTGTTTTGTTTTATTTTATTTTATTTTATTTTGGTGGCTGGCCACGATAGGGATCCTTTATTGTTTTAATCTTAAGTTGTTTATAATCCAAATATGCAGGACTCTACATATAAAAACGGAAATGATTTGGCTTCTCCTGATAATTTTGGAAGGTCTGACATCAGTAGGCCTGCATTTCTACATGGCAACATTTAGTTGGAGCTAAGTTTCCACCTATTAATGGGGCTCTCATTCTCCAATTTGCCATAGTCCATACTACTCCTGTCTAGGCATTTGAATTTCTACTCCCTGCACTAGAAAATCAAAGTTAAATTAAATCTCTTTTAGCCCTCAAGGTGCTTACTGTCTAGTTAAGTTACTTCTTTATTGCAGCCTATTACTAGCTTTGTGACCCTGGCTCAATCATCTAAACCATCTGGACTTCAGTGTCCTGTAAGGTGGGGATAAAAACTTGCTTCACTGGATTGTGAAGCTCCTATGTAAGTGGTTTGCCAGCTAAAATGACTAAATAGGTTAGGTATTATTTTTCTGTGAACTTTTTTAGCACAGATCATTTAGTTGCAGGTAACAGAAACCCACATAAGAAAAAAAAAAAAAAAAAAAAAAAAAGACGGATTTACTTAAACAGATAGAGTGTTTTGCAGAATCCAAGGGCAGGAGTACAGCTCAGCCTCATAAGAGAGTGGAAGCAGTGGATCTAACTGGCAGATTTTGGGTCACGTGGTTACCTCTGACCCAATCAGCTAAGGCTAGAAAGTCGGTGTTGTAGTACAAACATGTCATCTGGGATCTACCCCTGTGGTTGGGAGAATGGGGGCGGCTTCCATTGAAGAGGTTTTATAGACTAGGCAGACAGTCCCCAAAATGTCTACTTTAGAACTTTTTGGAGGCTGACCACATTGCCTTCTGGTGATGTGATGGTTGTTCATTAATGCTTTTATCCCTCTTCTCCTCCATACCCTCCCCAACTTTGTCAACCAGTATGAGCAGTTGACAGCCCCAATCTAGGAACTGGGTAAAATGTTTTCTAGGCACACACCAGTGGGATTTAGCCACCTCAGAGGGCCTCTTGCCCCGGTATGAGCATGCCAGCTTCGTCCCCTCCTGCACACCTGACAGTATCTGGGTATTTGGAGGAGCCAACCAGTCAGGAAATCGAAATTGTCTACAAGTCCTGAATCCTGGTAAGTAGCCAAAGGTTATAAATCCAATTACAGTTCCAGTACATTTGGATTGTACTGATTTAACTTTGCTTATCTTATACAAGGTAGGAATTTTAATTTCTAGCAGAATCTGAAAATAACAGAACTATATTTTGTTTTTTCTGGTAACATCTTCAGTTATCAACTCCTTAAGTGTCAAAGCTGGAAGAGACTTCAAAGAACAGGTATGCAAAGTAGGCAACTTAGGTCTTTCAGTGGAGAAGTGACTTTCCTGAAGTCACCACGGAGTCAGTGACTGAGCCAGGCTAAAACCCAAGTCACCTTGATCAGTGGTTCTCCAATGGGGGTAATTGTGCCCCCCAGGGGACATTTGGCAAGGTCTGGAAACATTTTTGGTTATCACAACTGGGGGTGGGGTATCCTACTGGTGTCTAGTGGGTGGAAGGCCAGAGACACTGCTAGACATCCTGCAATGCACGGAATAGCCCCCACATTAAAGAATTAACTGGTCTAAAATGTCAATAGTGCCAAAGTTAAGAAACCCTGACCTAGACCCTCCTGGTAGGTTTCTTTTAGCCAAAAGTGCAAAGTTCCGAACTGGTCTCACTTCCTCTTTTATCATAGAGGAAGCAGTTTGGGAACATCACTAATGAGAGGAGGTTGCTGAACCATTTGTGGGAGGTGGACTTGTCTTTTTATCATTTTAAAAGAATTTTGTTTTTTCCTTTCTCTTTATAAATATTATATACATTGATTATAAAATATTTGAAAAATGTAAATAAGTGGACAAAAATCATCCACAATCCTACTACATTAAGGCTATTAATAACATTTCTATGTACTTCCTTTCTGTCTTTTCTCTACATGTTTACAAACCTGAGATATACACTTTTGTACCTTTGTTTTTTTGTCCTTTTTGAGACCGGCTGCACCGCGCTCAGCCAGTGAGCGCTGTGAGCGCACCAGTCATCCCTATATAGGATCCGAACCCACGGCGGGAGTGCTGCTGCGCTCCCAGCGCCGCACTCTCCTGAGTGTGCCACGGGCTCAGCCCGTTATACCTTTTTTTTTTTTTAAATTTCATCATCACTGCAGAAATGATTTCCTATTAACAACAATGCTTTGTTAACATCATATTGAGTGGATGTATAATACTCCATTTTATGGGACAGGCTGGTTAGCTCAGGATGGTGTGGTGCTGATAACACCAAGGTCAAGTGTTCAGGTCCCCATACTGGCCAGCTGCCAAAAATACTCCACTTTATGACAGTACTATAATTCCCCCATTTTTAAAACATTTAGGTTGTTTTCAGGTTTTTGCCATTTTAAATAACAAAGCAGTGAACATCTTCATTCAGAAGTCATTGACTGGGCTGGCCCATGGCTCACTTGGGAGAGCATGGTGCTAACAGCACCAAGTGAAGGGTTAAGATCCCCTTACTGGTCATCTTTAAAAAAAAAAAAAAAAAAGAGTCATTGATTGACTCTATTTCATATTATTTTCTTAGGATTCATGCCCAGAAATAAAAAGACTAAGTAAAACACTGTGAACCTTTTATTTATTTATTTTTGGGGGTGCTGGCTAGTACAAGGAAGAACCCTGAACCTTAGTGTTATCAGCACTATGCTCTAACCAACTGAGCTAACTGGTCAGCTCCCCTTTTTAAGGCTTTTGATACATACTATCAAATTTTTCTTCATAAAGATTTTTTTTTGTCCTTTTTGAGACCAGCCGCACTGCGCTCAGCCAGTGAGCGCTGTGAGCGCACCAGTCATCTCTATATAGGATCCAAACCCACGGCGGGAGGGCTGCTACGCTCCCAGCGCCGCACTCTCCCCACGGGCTCGGCCCATTCATAAAGATTTTTTTTTGTCCTTTTTGAGACCAGCCGCACTGCGCTCAGCCAGTGAGCGCTGTGAGCGCACCAGTCATCTCTATATAGGATCCAAACCCACGGCGGGAGTGCTGCTACGCTCCCAGCGCCGCACTCTCCCCACGGGCTCGGCCCATTCATAAAGATTTTTTTAATTTATCCTCTCTCCAGCTGTGTTTAATAGTGCTTGTTTCATTCCTGACCACCATTGAATTTACCAGTTTTATTGTTTCACTTTATTTATGTATTTTTTTGGCAGCTGGCCAGTATGGGGACCCGAAGCCTTGACTTTGGTGTTCTGGCACTGCATTCTACCCAACAGAGCTAACCAGCCAGCCCAAATTTATGAGTTTATTTATTTGGCTTTTTTTTTTTTTGGCAGCTAGCCCATACCAGGAAATTTATCAGTTTTAAACATTGCTAATTTGATAGGCAAGAAACTTGTATCTAGTTGTTTAAATATGTATTTTGTTAGTCACTAGTGACTTGGACATTTTTCACATGTCAGTCAACTCTTGCCCAGTTCCCTCTATCAACAATATATTTGCAGAACAGTTGGTCAGAGTTCAGGAGACTGAACTGAATTTCCTTATGTGTCAAGTATTTAAGTTTCTTTATAGCATTTAAAAAATATCTTCTTATATATTGCATTAATTTGATTTATTTGTTAGGGTGTTTATTGCCTGTCTTCCCTCTTTCTCCCTGCCTTCTCTCTCTGGACTGTAAGTACCTTTGAAAGTTTGTTCATTGTTGAATACCCAGAGTCCAGAACACAGTCTGAAATACAGTAGACACTCAGTAGACTGCTTGCCCCATTATCAAGCCAGTTTGCTTGGAATAGCGAGTACACTGTGGTGGTGAAGAGCACAGATCAAGGTCTGTGCTTTGCTGTGCACTAACCATGACCTTGAGAAAGTGATTTAATTTCTTTCTGCCTCAGTTTTCTTTTCTGTCACATTGGGATAGTAACAGTTCCTACCTTGTTAATTTTGGCAAGGATTTAAATTAACTCAATGAACATAGTTAATACTCAACAATTGTTAATTGTTGTGGTTGACATAGTTATGGTTTGGCAGATGGAAATTAGCTCTGGTAACCTAGCCTTTTGATTTTCAATGATGGCATCCATTTAAATAAAATACAGTGAAAATTGGGAAAGCTCCTATCAAAGGAATTGATTTTCTATCATATTCTTTTTCTCTCCTGAAAAGTATAATTTAACACCATGCCCAAGAAATACGAAAAATATAAATGAACCATTAGTTTCTTTTGTTACCAAGGCAAGTCCATCAAATGGCTTAGTACTCTTTTGTGATTATTTTTACTAGTGTTTGACTGGCAGCAACACAACCCCAGAATTTTCTGACCTTGGAGGTTGTGTGCCTTCTAACTCCTCCTAAGACCCAGAAGCTCTCCAAGATGTGTAGCTATAGAGATAATTACATTTTGCTTTGAATATAGGATGAGACTTGTTCAGTCTCAAGTTCCACACCTATTGCAAATGCTTCATGTGTCATTTTGTATACTGAATGCAGACCTTTTACAAATGGCACAGAATTTCCCAGACAAGAAATACTTCTTGGCGTGTTGTGGTGGACCAAATATGGGACTCTGCCAGATTGAGTTCAAACTCCTGCTCTGCTGCACACAAGTGCTGTGACCTAGGGGAAAGGATTTAAATTTTCTGACTTTCAGTTTCTTCATCTGCAAAGTGTTGATACTTTCTGCCCATCTCGCAGGGTTGAGTGAAGATGGTGTGGGTGACAGAGTGCTTTAAGCAATGATTCTATACAAGGAAGGTGCTCAATTAATGCATTGGTTTCTATAAATTTAATGCTTCATTCTGAAAAGAAATAAGCTTCTACATACATCTGCCCAAGTGGTGAAATTTTATTCTCAAGTCAAAAGAGTGGAAAATACATAGACTTTGGTGTTATTGAAACAGAATTTAAATCCCAACTCAACCATTTACTAGCCTTGTCATCTTAAGCAAGTGACTAAATCTGTCTCTGCTTCAATTCCCTTATCTGTAAAATTTAGCACTTACTGTTTAGTAGGAACTATTATTACTGCTACTGAAACTGTAATAACAACGTCTACTTTCTTTTAATGGCCATATTTTCTGAGAAATTTGGCATATTTGGGCCGAGCCCGTGGCTCACTCGGGAGAGTGCGGCACTGGGAGCGCAGCAGCACTCCCGCCGTGGGTTCGGATCCTATATAGGGATGACCGGTGCACTCATAGCGCTCACTGGCTGAGCACGGTGCAGCCGGTCTCAAAAAAAAGGACAAAAAAAAAAAAGAAAAGAAATTTGGCATATTTGGACTCTGGCATCTAGTGGGAATGAATTTTAGCAGATTTTGGGCTCCTCGGAATGTGTGCTGGGCAGGGTAGTTAAGAGTACAAAGAGGGTATTTGAAGGCCTCCCAAAACAAATTGCTTCGTTCTTAATTGTATTTATGGCTTTTCAATCTTGAGAATATTGGTCTGTCTGAGCAAATTCTAAGTATCATCCTCAATCCTCTTTGACATTGGTGAGTATGAGATCCCTTCCTAAAACTATACTGTCCCCCTTGGGGATTGGGGTTTGGAACGTGAACCTGCCCAGCCCCAGCATCAAAGTCACAGTCCTGAGGCTGGGTGTTTTAGGTGCCTGTTTTCTTTCTGAACCAGAAACCAGGATGTGGACCACGCCAGAAGTGACCAGTCCCCCACCATCTCCAAGAACATTCCACACATCATCGGCAGCCATTGGAAACCAGCTATATGTCTTTGGGGGTGGAGAGAGAGGCGCCCAGCCCGTGCAGGATGTGAAGCTGCATGTGTTTGACGCGAGTATGGATTGGCGGGCACCTTGGGGTTGCCGCTTATCTGGGGAGGGCCACCCTGGCCTGCACCTTAGTTGATGTAGGAAGCAGAGGTTATAAAATGAAACCATGGGTAATTGTCTCACTTTTAGACCTCTTTGGTACATCTCTTAGCTAATATATTCTCCCCACAGCAAAATTTGCATTTAAAAAAGTATATAAGTGATCAATTTAAAAAATTTAAACAGTACAATTTATAAAGTGAAAAAGTAAAAATTTCCTCTTTAGCCTTTCCTTTCCATTCCCCAGACAGAGGTAAACACTGTTAGCAGTTCCTAATGTCTCCTTCCAGACTTTCCTATGCATTTATAAATTATACATACATATGCATATGTACATACATAAATTTTCTGTGAATTTTGAAATTATATAAAAACTTAAAAAACACATACATGGTATCAAATTATGAATACTGTTCTGCAGTTAAATTTTGGGGAGTAGGGGTAGATCTTGGCAGTTGAAGGTGTAAACTTTGAAGCTACATGATCTGGACCAAGGACCAGATCTCACTAAACACATACTTTCTGTGTTATTTTAGGCTAGTTACTTAATCTCTATAGGCCTTGGTTTTTTGACTTGTAAAATAGAGATAATAGTGCTTACCACAAAGAGTTGTAAACATTAAACAGGATAATGTGATATAGTGCACAGCATTGCACATAGAAAGTACCCAATAAATATTAACTGTATTATTATGATTATTACTTCTTCATTTAATCACATATCATGGATGTCTTTCTAAATCAGTACCAATATCCATGTAAAGCATATTTTTCTGTGGGTATCCTTTATTCATTCAACCATTTTTCTGATTGACTTTTTGTTAATAGTGTTACGGTGGACATTTGCATATGTTAATCTTTGTGCTATGAACAGTTATATGGAATAGATGCTGAGAAGTGGAATTACTGGGTCAAAACAGTATGAATATTTAAAATTGTGAGATCTCTTGCCAAATTGCTGTCTAAGGAGCATTTCCTTATATTTATTTCTCTTACTAGTGGGCATTTATGAATAACATTTTATAAATAACATATCAAAAATACTTTTCATGTATTTTTCATAGTAAAGGGGCAGGCTTTTTTGAGAAAATGCAATGAGTGGAATTTCAAACTTCAAAGTAAAATTGGGAGAATCAATACATCATAATATGACTTCTCTTTCCAGAAGTAATGGGCTTTGTGAGCCTTTTTTTTTTTTTTTTTTTTTTTTTTTTTTTTTTTTTTTAAAGATGACTGGTAAGGGGATATTAACCCTTGACTTGGCGTTGTCAGCACCACACTCAGCCAGTGAGCGAACCGGCCATCCCTATATGGGATCTGAACCTGGGGCCTTTGTGTTATCAGCACCATACTCTCCCAAGTGAGCCACAGGCCGGCCCCTTTGTGAGCCTTTTAAAGCAGTTTTTAAAAATTTGGGGCTGGCTGGTTAGCTCAGTTGGTTAGAGAGCAGCCTTGTAACACCAACGTCAAGGGTTTGGATCACCATACCAGCCACCAAAAAAAAAAATTTATTTAAATTTTTTAAAAATTTAAATACTCTTAGTTTTGAATATATAAGACTATGAGAAGGAAGAAAAATATGTATGTATGTGTATATATTATAATACTATACTATCACCCCAAAATTGCTATTAGCATCTCATTGTGTTACCAGTCTTTTTTTAGTTCTTTTTTTTTTTTTTTGAAAGATGACCGGTAAGGGGATCTCAACCCTTGGCTTGGTGTTGTCAGCACCATGCTCAGCCAGTGAGCAAACCGGCCATCCCTATATGGGATCCAAACCCGTGGCCTTGGTGTTATCAGCACCGCACTCTCCCGAGTGAGCCACGGGCCAGCCCTTTTAGTTCTTTTTTTTCCAGTCTTTTTTTTTTTTAAATAGCAGTGATAATTCTATATGTAATATTTGTATCCTGTATTTTTCACTTAAGCATTTCTGCATGCAATCACAAAGTCTTCACCAGCATTTTTTTTTTTCCTTTTTGTCTTTTTTTCGTGACCGGTAACGGGATCGCAACCCTCAGTGTCGCGCCCGTACCGCGACCAGCAACGGGATCGCAACCCTCGGTGTCGCGCCCGCACCGCACTCAACCAGTGAGCGGACCGGTCTCTATATGGAATCCAAACCCTGGGCGGGAGTGCCACCGCGCTCCCAAGCGCCGCACTCTACCGAGTGTGCCACCGGGCCGGCCCTTCACCAGCATTTTTAATAAATGCATGGTATTTCATCTTTACCAATAACTCAACCATTCACCTGCTGATGGACACTTAGGCTATTTCCAGTTCTTCTCTATTACAAACAATACTATGATGAACATAACTGTGCAAAAACCTTTTCAGATTATTTTAAATTATATTCCTTGAAACACTAGGGGCTCCATGAGCAACCAGCAGGCATGCCATAAACAGTAATTCAAAGACAAATTGTTTGGCAGGCCCTTGTCTCAAGTAGTTTTTGCAGTACTCCTTAAAGACTTTTCTGGTATATTGAAATGATTAATTCATTTTAAAGAATTCTATATACGTACAGCTTTGAAGATACAAAGGGTTTCCTACATACAGTAAAACATATCTGCATTGTTCATGGATAATATCCATATTCATAACTCCCATGTATTGAGTACTTTCTCTGTGCCCATGCTTTATGTACCTTATCTCACTTAATCCATAACTCAACCCTGAAAAGTAGGTATTATCAGGTATTGGCTTTATACAGCTATAGAAACTGAAGCTTAGGGAAGTAACTGGCACAAGGCCACACAGTTAGTGAGATAACTGGTTTTAACTCCAAATCCCATATTCTACACATTATCTTATACTGCCATGTCAGAAGGCCCTACCTAACTTTTATTTAAAAGTAGTCTTTATCTCCACCCTTTCAGCAAACGAGTTAAGGATATTGTATTGAAAAGAGAATACTCTGAAGGCCTGTCACAGAAAAAAGCAGAGTCATTCATTTTAACTTTGGGGTGGTTCTAGGTTCAAGCTTGAGGGGAGATCTTTTTAAAGTTAAAGCAAGGAATGGCTTCCTAATGTCCTGTAGAAGGGGCACGTATGTTAGGTGGTGGGTTCTACAGCTCTGGGAGTGTCCAAGCAGAGGCTGTACGGGCTATAGAGGGAGGGAGGCCTGGATTGGGCTGGTAAATTGGAGTGAATGACCTCAAGGTCCCTTCCTGCTTAGAACATCTTTGCTTTCTGGGAGGTGATAAAGAGATTTAAGTGTATTTCTCACATTCTTGCTTCATAGCTTTGCCATTTGATGTCAGTGAATTTACTTTTCTAGAGACTCTGACCTGGTCACAGCCAGAAACACTTGGAAATCCTCCATCCCCCCGGCATGGTCATGTGATGGTGGCAGCAGGGACAAAGCTCTTCATCCATGGAGGCTTAGCAAGGGAAACATTCTATGACGATCTCCATTGCATTGATATAAGTAAGTAGGTGGAGGGCATGGGGGCTTGTCTGCTTAAATTTTTAAAAAATGTGCTTTGAAAGAATGTAGACTTGCTCTTATGTGTGAGTAATTTGACCAGCTGGCAGAATCTTCACTGGATTCTGTCAAATGTGGCCTGAATGATAATAAATAATAACAACAGTGAATGTAATTGTTTCCTGAGTGCCTACCATGTGCCCAGCCATTTATTATCTCTTATCTTCCCAACAGCCCTGCTCTTTCATTACATTTTATTATGATTTGTGTTCCTCAACTGGATTTCTTTCAGGCATTAGCCATTAACCCATGAGGGGCCTGGATAATGTCTAGAGTGTGTCTGGAGGTAGGTGACCAAAACTGCCCGCTTGTCATGCTAAACTGGGAGGAGGAAAGTTAGAGAGAACATGAGAATTGTCTTTAAGCATCTGTAGGGCTAACGTGCTCTGGAGAGCCTGGACTCATTCTGGCTCATTCCTTCAGGCATGAACTCTGTTAGGGCAGGGACTTCATCTCCTTTGTTCCCCGGTATATTTCCAGCACTTAGCACAGTGTCTGTCAGATAGTGGGTAATAGTGCATATCTGTTAATGAGTGGATGGATGAACAAATGAGCATATTCTGTGTTGCTCCAGACTGCAAGAATTGGAACAATAGGCAAAAGGCGTGGGAACTCCTTTGCAGTGTATCGGGCTTCCTTGCCAAGCACTGAGTTCTCTGGCATGGTGGCATCTGAGGGCAGGGACACTGGCTGGGATTGCTCCATTTGCTGGGATTTTGGCCAGACTGGGTGATTCTCCCTTCTTACCCTGAGATGCTGGGCCCCTGATGGAAACTATCTTCACAGAAGCATTCCTTGAATGCAGTCAGATAGGTTTTTAATGATTATTTTTAAAAAGAAAGTTCTGGCTGGCTGGATAGCTTGTTTGGGAGAACATGGTGCTGGTAACACCAAGGTCATAGATTTGGATCCCATACTGGCCAGCCACCACCACCAACAACAACAAATTTATTTTCTCTTGTACTGTGGAACTACTTCCTGGCTATTTCTCCTGCCTACCCAGGTAGTTCTGTGTACCTAAAATACAATGATTTCATGTTTCATTGGAATGCTTGTTTGAAAAGATGCAGATACCCCTGCAAAAAATTGGTTCGTAGTAGTGCTGAGGCATTACGTTACATATGGAGGACACAGGCTTTGGAGCCAGACCTGAGTACAATTCTAGCTCTGCCACTTATAAGATGTAGAGTCTCAGGTAAGTCTCTCTCCCTCTCTAATGCTGTTTTCTCATCTGTAGGAAGAAAGGGGGTAGGGAGACATAATAGCAATTTCATGGGGCTGTTATGAGAATGAAGTGAGCAAGATATTTAAAGGTCTAGCCAGCACTCACAAAGCTGCTTCTTAAGGAACTTTTAGTATTTAAAACACGCATACGTGTATGTGCATATATATACACACACAGGCACACGTAACTTTACCTACTTCTGGGCAGTTAATGGTGAACAGTTAAAGGTGATGGACACCATAAAAAGTTGTATCACATTTCTCAGTGTGCTCCAAAGATCACCTACATCAGAGTCACCTGGGATGCTTGTTAAAATTCTAGGTCACTGAGCCCCTCCCTCCCTCCCTGGACTACCCAATCAGTTTCAAGCTTCCCCAGATAATTCTTATGCACACTAAACCTTGCTATATTATCTTTTAGAGCTCTTAGTGAATGACCTTCAGTGATTGGTTTGCAAACTGCTATAGATAAGTCTGAAACCACATGTTAGCTTATGATGTGCCAAAACACTTCCGTTCTCTTGGCAGGTGATATGAGGTGGCAGAAGCTAAGTCCCACTGGGGCTGCTCCTGAAGGCTGTGCTGCCCACTCAGCTGTGGCTGTGGGGAAACACTTGTACATCTTTGGTGGAATGACTCCCACTGGAGCACTAGACACAATGTACCAATATCAAATAGGTGAGCACTGTCACTCCTGGTCTTTAAATAAATGTAAACATTCTTTGAAAAGTGGCACAGTACTTTGATTTTTCAATTTGGTTTCTCCGTGTCTAAATCCAAAGAAATAGAAACTACACTTGTAGGAAACGACATCATTAAGGCAGTAACACCACCATTAGGTTTTTTCCCCTTTATTTCCTGTTTGTTAGGGCTCAGCTGATATAGTAAATCACTAAGCAGTTCTGGATATTTATTAACACAGAGCCTTTTTTTTTCCTCCCTAACATAGAAAAGCAGCATTGGACCTTGCTTAAATTTGATACTTTCCTACCCCCTGGACGACTGGACCATTCCATGTGTATCATTCCATGGCCAGTGACATCTACTTCTGAGAAAGAGGATTCAAATTCTGTCACTCTAAACTGTGGAGCTGAGAAAGGGGATTCCACTGTCAATGGAGTGACCCAAGGCGGTGACTCACATGAGGAAAGTCAGACTGACCCATTGCTCTGTTTTGTGTTTGGTGGAATGAATACAGAAGGGGAAATCTATAATGATTGTATTGTGACTGTAGTTGACTAATAAAACCCACATTTGTATTACTTCAGAAAAGAAAAAATATAACTGTTTAATACCTCCAAAATATTTTTTGCACTATGTCTGTCTTGCTCTTATCCACTTGGGCAGTTGAAGAGGTGAACTGGATGGCCCAGTGCAAAACCCTCCAATATATAAAGGGTTTTACCAGTAATACAACTTAGGTAAGTGTGATTGGTTCTTATCAATACTAATCACAAGATTGCAGAAGCATAAATGCTAGATACAACCTAAGCTATAGACATTAGAGTGGGCATTTACCAGTAGAAGCCTATCTTTAATATTCAGTAGCTACTCCTCAGAAAGAGGTGCAAACTGTTGGTACCTGGGAGTGAGAGCCGTCGGGGACAGGGATGAAGACTGGTCCTTGTACCCTCTAACTCCACTAGCCCAGTGCACACTGGACCATAGGTCAGTTTTAACATTGGTATTGGGCTTGGCCTGCAGGCCTTTTGTGTTACACTCCAGGCCCACCCAAATGCTTTTCAGGACAGCGCAGCAGAGGATGATGTCAGGCCCGTTTTACCATCCTCAGCAAATTAACCTTTCAGCCAGTTGCCCATCTATAAAATACCTATCCTTGGACGGTATTGGATTTCATGTTAGCACCACACAGCCTGCCCTTTATTGATCATACTATTCACCTAGATCAACCCTTTCCTCAGGAAGCCAATCTAAGTAATCCTAAACCTGTCTTGACACAAACCACTGCCTTTGGCCTACAATCACCAGATGGGTAGACCCATCCTAGATCCTACCCCGGAAACACTAACGAAAAATTTCAGGGATGGAGAATCTGATGCAGCTAGGGTTCAAAATACAACTTTACATCCTAAAATTATAAATTAAATTCAAGTGTATAAAGTCAACAGTGATCAGGTCACTCTTTTTTTTTAAGGCTAGTCAAGTGAAGTAATGGGAGTGGAGAGGGAACAAAGAACCTATTAACTGGTTGTGATCAATTAGTTGTAAACACCACTGCACTCAGATCAACCATCAATTCTTGAGAGAATCTGCAGCTATAACATATCATATTGCTATAAAGCTACAGTTTTAGAAGGATAAGGGGATGTAGGGAATTTCAAATACATATACAGTTTGTTCAAGAAAACCCACCTCTTGGGGCTGGCCAGTTAGCTCAGTTGGTTAGACATGGTGCTGGTAACACCAAGGTCCAAGGTTTGTACCCTGTACCAGCCAGCCACTGAAAAAAAAAAAAAACAAACCCATTTTTGGGCACTGTGAAATGGGCCCTTGCCTAGGTAAATGGATGAAACTCTTCCCTTTTCTTAGATTTAAGGCTAGACAAATTCCTTGTAAGTACTGTATAGAAATGTTTTATTACCCCAACATCCCAAATGTCCCCCAACACACACACACGAGAATCTAATCTTAAATTTTAGTTATCTTCCTAAAATAAGTGATCTAATTAGAAGCTTTTCACAAAAATTTAGACCAGTGTAAATAACAAACATTTATTGGTGTCACTTATGGTAGAAAAAAGTTCCTACACCAGATGCACATGACCCAATTGTTAAATAGAACATTTCCAAGGTGAACACACCCTAATCCAGCTTTTTAAACCCAGATTTTAAGATAGCCAATTCCTCCTCTCCCCCCACCCCAAAGACATGTGAGCAACTGCTAATGAAAAGCAGTAAACAGCCACTTGGGCTATAGCATTTTCAACTCCACTCTGAGGTGAAGATTCCAATTACATTCGAGACTTAAGTTCTCTCAATTTTCTCCTAACAAAAGTTCCTGAGTCCAGTATTTACAATATTACAGCACTAGCAGATCAGTGTCTACAACTCATCTTTTTCTGCTGTATCATCTTCACCAGTTGGAGGAGGGCCTGCACTTCCATAGAGTTTGCTGATAATTGGCTGAACAATTTCTTCTAGTTCCTTCTTTTTAGCTTTGAAGTCTTCAATGTCAGCATCTTGGTGGCTTTCCAGCCATTCAATCTTTTCCTCTACAGCTTTTTCCATGGTTTCCTTATCTTCAGAGGAAAGTTTACCTCCTAGCTTTTCTTTATCTCCAATCTGGTTCTTCAGAGAGTAGGCATAGCTTTCTAACTCATTTCTAGTGTCAATGCGCTCCTTGAGCTTTTTGTCTTCCTCAGCAAACTTCTCAGCATCATTAACCATCCTTTCAATTTCTTCAGGTGTCAGGCGGTTTTGGTCATTGGTAATTGTGATCTTATTTTTGTTCCCTGTACCCTTGTCTTCAGCTGTCACTCGAAGAATGCCATTCACATCTATCTCGAAGGTGACTTCAATCTGTGGGACCCCACGGGGAGCAGGAGGGATTCCAGTCAGATCAAATGTACCCAGAAGGTGATTGTCTTTCGTCAGGGGTCGTTCACCTGGAAGTTACACAGAGAAAAACTTGTTAGTTGTTCCTGACAAGAATTAGTACATCTTGACCTCTACATTTCAGTCTGTTGGAACCTATAGTGGCAAGGGCACTTTATCAAGCTAAAAGTAACTCAGTAATGGTTAGGAGGAGCAGCAACTGGGACTAACAGTAAGTTAAGTTACAACTCTTAACTGAATTTCTTCTACTTCAAAGCATTGTGAACCCCTTTCTTTTTCTTGCAAGTCTAGGAGCCAACTCAGAAGTTATTTTTAATAGGAAAGAATGCTAACTAAGTGCTGACTATGAAACTCAACACTAGTCTAATTAAGGACCCCCTATCTGAAAATAGCCATTCTTTCCCCAGCCATTTCAAAAGAGTATATATTAAACAAGAAATTATATTTAACCATGATATTAACAAACATAAGTGATTACCTTCATAGACCTTGATTGTAACAGTTGGTTGATTATCAGAGGCTGTAGAAAAGATTTGAGACTTCTTGGTGGGCACCACAGTGTTCCTTGGAATCAGTTTGGTCATGACACCTCCCACAGTTTCAATACCAAGTGTAAGGGGGCATACATCAAGCAGTACCAGATCACCTGCAAAAGGTAAGCTAATCAAGTTAAATTCTAATTCAAGTTCTCCCCACAAACTGTTTAACTTCTCTGTCTTGCCATCTGTTTAGGTTCTAAGCATAAACATTTTAGAGGGAGAGAATTAATCACAGTTGCTAAGAATCTTGAGACTGCCCCAGGCTTCTCTTCCCTGTACTCTTTACTAACTGTGTGACCTTGTTGCTCATATTCTATTGTTTTTTCAAAGCAACAGCTAACTAGTCTTCCCATCAAGGTACTGAAGCATTGTGGAAGATGCTGTGACAATAACATACCTGTATCTTGATCACCAGAGAGTACACCAGCCTGGACAGCAGCACCATATGCTACAGCCTCATCTGGGTTAATGCCACGGGATGGCTCCTTGCCATTGAAGAACTCTTTAACCAGTTGTTGAATCTTTGGAATTCGAGTAGAGCCACCGACAAGAACAATTTCATCAATATCAGACTTCTTCAAATCTGAATCCTCCAACACTTTCTGGACAGGCTTCATGGTAGACCGGAACAGATCCTAGAATAAGTAAAAGACATGGTTACTGTGATGCCTGTATATCTACATACACTGTCCTAAATTCAGAGAGTCTAACTAGATCTCATTAGCAAAGCAAAAAGCAAGGAAATACCATGTTTAGCTCTTCAAATTTGGCCCGAGTCAGAGTCTCAGAAAAGTCTTCTCCTTCATAGAAGGACTCAATTTCAATTCTTGCTTGGTGTTGAGAAGACAGGGCCCGTTTGGCCTTTTCTACCTCACGCCGGAGTTTCTGCACAGCTCTGTTGTCTTTCCTAACATCTTTGCCAGTCTTCTTTTTGTACAGCTTGATGAAGTGTTCCATAACACGCTGGTCAAAGTCTTCTCCACCCAGATGGGTATCTCCATTAGTGGCCACGACTTCGAAGACGCCATTGTCAATGGTGAGAAGAGATACATCAAAGGTTCCACCACCCAAGTCGAACACCAGGATGTTCTTCTCCCCCTCCCTCTTATCCAGGCCATAAGCAATAGCAGCTGCTGTACTGTTAGAAGGATGTAAAAGGAAAAAAGCTTAGTCAAGTTCACATTTCCCCTATTTGGCAAACATACCATATCCCTGAATTTTACACTTACGGCTCATTGATGATCCTCATGACATTCAGTCCAGCAATAGTTCCAGCATCTTTGGTTGCTTGTCGCTGGGCATCATTGAAATAGGCTGGTACAGTAACAACTGCATGGGTAACCTAAAAGGATAGCAAAAGTTAGTTAAGTGTATTTTGTCACATGGTTTAACCCTTATTTAAATCATGGTCAAACCATCACTTTAGCTCTAGTTCAGATTATCAGTAAGATAAATATATGTAATTTTATACTCATGGAATTGCGAGCATTAAGTGCTAGACAACACATGAAAAGTATCTAGTATTTTGTTTGGCCCACAGTAAAGCACTAAATAATTAAACCTGACAAACATGGATGTCATTCAGATTCAAATTTTTAAAACCATGACAGTCAACGAAGAATGCCAATAACTTAAAAAATGCATTGTTCTAGAAATATTTACCTTCTTTCCCAAATAAGCCTCAGCAGTTTCTTTCATTTTAGTGAGAACCATGGCAGAAATTTCTTCAGGGGCAAATGTCTTTGTTTGCCCACCTCCAATATCAACCTGAATGTATGGTTTAGTTTTCTTTTCAACCACCTATTTTAAAAGATGGTAATTTTCAGACACAGAAGCAATGACATTTCAAACTTTAAAAAGACCCACTTCCTCACTCATAGTTTGGTTTTCTTTGGTCGCTAAGAGCTGAACATTGACAAATACTTAGGTAATGTAAGTGTCTTACAAAGACAAATCTCTTCAGTTTTAATCAGTCTTTTGATCCCAAACTATCGTGGACAGAGTATTTGTTTGTCAACTTTAAGTTTTGCAACACACTGAAGTTATTAAACAATTATATACATCAAATCTACATCCTTTTTCTTGTCATCCTAACATTGTCTTTCGGCGACTTCTTAACTGTAAATACTTCCACCACCCCCACACCTCTATGCTGATGA